TGAACCCAGTCGGTTTGGCCGAGCCTGCCGTCCGGCCCGGTGAAGGCACCCTGGAACTCTACCAGCAGGCTCGCCAGCCGTTCACGTTCCTCGCCGTCCAGATGGGCCACTCCCCGGTCCAGGAGGTCATGCAGGTGGGCGGGCACACTATCGCCCGAGCTCCGAGAACAGCCTCCCTGGCATTCGTGGCCCGCTGGGCCGCCCTCGGGGCTCCGAACGGAACTTTCCGTAGGGCAGGGCTCTGAAACCACCTGTTGAGAACTCTCCTCGGGGTCGATCACCGCGCCTTCTTCCACGGGGGCGAACATGGCCAGACGACTCCCCTAATAGACTGTAACCGGATCTCCCGTCGGGTTGAATACTCGCACCGGCACGGCCCCCTGACTGATATCCACGAGGCCCGTCGCGACAGCCACCTGGCAATGGTCTGTGGCTGCCAGGCTGGGGTACACCAACCCCACTCAACGGGCACGATCTCCGCAGACTTTCCCAGTCACGATCGCCTCGTGCCCGGTGGGAATTACCACGCTCTCGGCCACTTGGCCACCACCAGCTTGCAGCTCGGCCCCTCTAGGGGAACCAGCTTGCCATCAACAGCAAGTGAGTTGTTGCTCCACCTTCACTCGCAGCGTTGTTTAGCCAGGAAGTCTATTCCCACAATGACGTCGGGTTCGATGTCCGCCACTGTGTACGTGTGTAGGGTGCACAAGTCCCCCTGCTGGAGTTTGAAGTCGGCGACTCTGTGCGCTCGCATCGGGCTACCATCAGCCATCCGCAGAGTCGGTCCAGCTGGCTGCAATCTGGGTTTGTCAGCGCCTGTAAGTGCGTAGTAGACCCTGGCCCACACGAGATACGGCCGCCCCCGTGTCGAGTAGCACCCGCACTGTCTTGCCGGCCAGCTTGCCGGCGCTACAATATCATGGAACATTGTGTTGGTGGTTGAGCCCAGGTCGGTCAGGCTAAAGCTGCGTTATTCCAGTAGGGAAGCGCCGGAACCAAATGGCTATTCATTACGTGTGCAGTACAGCATACAGATTATGTATGCTTACTGTCCATCATTTTAGTTGCAAAAAAGACCGATTGCGCCCGAAAGTCACTTGACCTATAGTAGGGACTGAAGTTCAACAAACACGGCGTCCACCAAAGCAAAGTGTTTCATAAGTACCATCTACCAAAAATGAAGCCGAAGGTAGGTACCGTGCGTGTACTCAGACTACTGATGAGCTGGGTACTTCACCATAAATTGGCGTTATTGTTTGTAAACAATACTCAAAATAAACTTTGCTCTATGAGTGATACCCACTAAAGGTTACGTGACGTCGCTGGCGCAATCGGTCATCTCTCTGTGATATTAACAGCTCTGGGTTCGGAATGAATCGCTACGGCAAACGTCACTTGGCAGGACCACTTTTTCAGACTTGTGGAACTGAAATTGACTTCAGTCGCAGTTTATTTGACTGTGTACTAGATTTGTAAACAAAATGGCTCGCAACTTGGCTTGGAGGACGTGATTTGTACAAAATGCGACTTGTCGGCATTGCCAACTTGAACTTTTGTTGAAATAAATACATATGTATAAGAAAAATGTATACGAGCCTTTCGATGTGTAAAAGCAGATTTCTCTGTTTTCACAGGATATACTTGGTCTTATAATTACAGACATCATCATATAACAGTGTATAGCGGGAAGAATAACTTATAGAGGGATTTCACAATAGCGCCGTCTGCGCATACCTGCATCGAAACTTTGGCTCTCTGTGTTGAACCTAATTGCGCCCGCCCGCGGAGTCCACACAGTACATGGAGTATTCGGTTCGTAAGTGTTACGCCACTCCAGGTTAAACCGCGCCCACTGCACAAGATACACGACTATCGCAGATACGTTAGTTCGTGGTCAACTGTCGTTACTTTTTCTTTTGATTTTACGTGTCGAATCATCCTGAAAGACTCTTCCACAAAAATTTTCAGCCTGAAAAGTCTGAATTTAACATACCTTTATGTATTTTGTGTCTTAACTCCTTACTTTCAATCGTCTGATCGTATCAAGAATTGAAGCTGACACATACAGCCTCGTTTTCAAACGCGGAAGTGCGCAGATCGACGCCAAAAGCGTCGTATTGGAATCCCTCTATTATATATCAAAATCTACGAGTACCCTGTCAATAATGACGTGAGATATGCTGGAAAAATGACTTGACTTGGGAAAACAGACTTGACACTGCAAGCGGCGGTGGAACGATTTTTCAAAGTGGAGGGGACCATCAAGCATCAGCATGCATTAATAGGTCGATCCATTAAGCCCAACCCCATTACAGGCCCTGCAGGAAGTAGGGGGAGGGCCCCCGGTCGAAATAGTGAGGAAGCTTAGGGCAATCCCTTTGCCTCCCCCTTTCCCCCGGCTGCCAGTGGAAAATAACTCGGTTAAATTCCTTGACTTATAACTCCTTCTCAATTGAACAGAAGAAAAAAACGAGAAACTCTCCCCAACAAAAGGAAAAGGCGGAAATCGTCAAGAAAAGTATGATCTCCAGATTTTACTCCCCCACAAGACCGCGTCTGAATGGGATGTTTTCCACCCTTAATGGACGCCAAAGTCCCTGTGGCCTAATGGAGAAGGCGTCGGTCTCCTAAACCGAAGACTGCGGGTTCGAGTCCCGCCAGGGATATAGTCGTATAGCTTTTTCTAACCGGATATTAAAAAAGAGTAAAGCTTGGGACTTTTAAACTTTTAACTTTTAAATGTTGCCCTCCCACCAAGAAAAAATAGGAAAAAATAATTTGTAGTTCACAATACAGAGAAGTCCAACGAAATTTCACTCGATATACCTACTGGCTGCATCCAACGGGGTAAAGCCCTGTGTTGGGTTTTCATATTAATTGAATGACGACATAAACTGTATCTCTCTCAATAGTGGCGCTACGTGATGTCATGTGCATGCAACACCCACTGAAAAGCCGTTTGCACCCCCATTTGCTCCCACAAAACGTGACTTTGTCACATTATATAAAACTGTACGTTCGTACCAAATACGCGGTTCTTCCTTGTACCCCACAGCCACCCAGGTCTTGCGCGGGCTATGTTTCTCCCAATTAGCGAGCTTCCTACTATGCATGTGAATCTGGGTTTCAGACTCAAAATTCAAGGCTTTCCTCATTTCGGGGGACAAAAAGTATTTGAGCGAATAAGTCTACACATGGGGACGGACGTGGGGAAAAATTTCTGTCAAGGGCAATATTGGGGGGGGGGGAAATCTCCGTTCGCACTCAACTCTCAACGCAACTCTTCCCTAATAGCTCATGACAACCGCGCCAAAACGACTTATGAAACGATCCTTGGAGGCTCAGAACGATGAGCCAATTATTGGTGCCAATTATCTACACGTGCCTTTCCTGTCGACTTTTGAGGGAGGGGTATAAACTCCTGTACAGCGTTTACATTTCTGATGCCCTCTTGATAACAGAAAGTGTACTACAGTTATGCACTTGCAGCGACTGTCACAAAACAGTAGCTTCAGACTGTAGCCAACGAGTTTTACATTTCTTATTGCCAACGGTGGGGGCTACAGTAAATGATCACGTAAGGCGTGGTCACTGGCTGCAAACGAGGTAAGCCACTACTCATGAGCTTATGTGAGGTACAGAGATCGCAGTTGAAGGGCGCTGGTTGGTTTGTGTAGAATTTCTTATGTTTTATTTCAGATTAACCCACTTCAAATAGCGTCTTCCCATTGTATCGATCATGTTTCAAAAAGACTAACGGGACACAAGGTGGCTTAAAAGTACACGGAGTGCTTTACTTTTTATGAACTCAAGTGGAATACAGAAACTACTTTTAGGTGTTATACGTCCACTTATATTGCAATTTATTGGTGGGAAAGCTTGCTGCTCCAGACACGACAAGCGTTCCAAGAACGACTCTGTTTTCCAGAATCAAAGTTTTGAGTTTAAAAATTCTATATAGCCGCTGCACAAAACCGACCACTAAAAATTTGAATTTTTACTTTTTTCGACGACGATCGAGGGCCTTCCCATGCAGTTTACTGGATCTGATGTTACATAGAGTTCTGATGCATCCGTGTCTTTAAGGCAACCCACTAGAGCCTCGCTCTCAGAGGTACTACGGCCAACCTTCTCCCCGCCTAACTTTTAGTTTTTTGTGCGGCTTAAAACGTTTAAACATAACTAATTACAAATTTAAAATCATTTATCAAAATATTAAAACTGGCATTGCTTTGTAACTAACTTTCAGTTCATACATTTATATTTATTCCCAGCTTCCCCAAATGAAAAACCGATTCCGTTTTAGACGACTCGTGAATAAAGGTTACTCTTTTTTACAGAGCAAAAACAAACTAAAACCTAAAACTCTCCACCCTTACGGACGCCACACTCCAGGTTGTCCGGACAACAATTATGCCCGTTGACGTTTCGCCCAGGAGTATCCTGACTGTGCAGGAATATCGCCGGGCACAACAAACTTCTTGGACTGGCCTGTTTGACGGTAATCAGCGCAGCACGACGGAACTTGCAGTTTGCTTCATGGGACATCGTACCGATGCGTCAATGCAACAACAAACATACCGCTGGTTTGGTTTTGCACGTGGGAAGTCGATAGTAGTAGGTAACCAACAAAACACACGATTTTATAAACTTTTGAAACAAGATCTATACCATTAGAGCATTTAAGAAAAGCGCAGCGCTCGTTCTCCACTGTACCTGACACATTCTTTAACGATTACCGAAAACGGCGTGCACAGGCCTCGATTTCAGTTGAAAACCTTTTTGCTCTTTCACTTTCAAACTGAAAACAGAATCTCTACCAAAATGAAACTCGCTACTCGTGCAGTATTACCGTGATACAGTTTTACTGCCCCGACTGCATACGAATCAGGAGTTTCTGTATACAGTACGGGCGATTCACAATAGTGCGTCACCAAGAGTTTGCAATGCGTTGGCCAATCATAACGCGCTCAATTTGTCGACCCTTTCCAAACGCGCACTGCGTCGACAAATTTTGCGCATTGTGATTGGCCAACGCGTTGCAAACTCTTGGTGGCGCACTATTGTGAAATGGCGGTATTGTTATTGTCACACACATTTACATCACACACTTTCAGTGAAAAAATATACCTAGCGACGTACAACGTAGAAAATGTGCGGAAGTTCACGGGCTAAAAATATGTTACTCTGTATAAGTGAGACTCTGTATAAGTGAGGCTAAACAAAAGTGCATTTTGGCAGTCATGACATTCTACTGTCGGTGGGTTTCTGGGGATAATTCGGCAAAATCGGATGCCCCAAAACAACCCATGAACAACTGCTGAACAACCCTTCCTTATGACTGCCAAACCTGCACGAACGACTCCAAACACACAGCTGCAAAAATAGGACACCAGACTATTTATACATATAATAAAATACGTTCTCCTGCATACCGTGACTGACCGAAGTCACACACTTTGTGCTATTCGGAAACAAGTGAAAACAAAACAGATCTCACAATAAAAATGTCATTCTCTATACCGCATTATCTATTGAGTAATATATTTCAGGCTTATTTAAAATTTGGACGAATGATAACTGTTTGGAAAAATATTCACAGGCCTTTGCCTGTTCTGTACAAAATCCCACACTTCAAGACCACCTCATAGTGATACCTACGCTCCCAAATAGTTCTGCTTCCCATTGCACGACATCTGAAAATATGGTGCACTGAAGATAGGACAGAAATGTTTTTTTGGTCACTTTATTGCAAGAGAGGTCGGGTACTATTTGTCTATAAAAATGAAATGAACAATGTTGGGATACAAGTTGTGTGCATAAATGAGTCCGTTAGACCTTTATGTGCACATACCACATTCAACCTGAAGTATTTCTTTCCTATCTTTATTCCCAACTTGAAGATGTTCTAAAACTTTCCCCTGGGAACAACTGTCGGGTTGTGATGTCAAAACAGAGTAGGCAGAAAAACAGGAAGCATGAGTACATGTATCTTTTTAAATTTTTGACACTTCTACAACTTTTCGATTCAAACCAACCATTCTCATCATTTCAACAATGACAGAAACTTGTCTGAGCGAAGGGGCTGGGGAAGCCAGTTTCCTCCAGACATTCTTCGAACCTGCACACTGCTATGAAGAAACAAAAGGTATGGTACCTGTCACAATCACTTGGAAGGAGATGGCAACAGGAAACGGCAGACGGGGCAAGTGCCAGACTGCATGAGGAAAAAATGGCAAAATGAAAAATAGGTGAAAAACCACACACATTTTTTTTCTAAGTAGGGTTTTGTTTTAATAGTGAGACAGGCGTTTTCATGAATAAGGAACCGTATGCGCTGCAAAGCCTTTCCTAGCCTTATAGCAAAATCAGAAAATGCTTATCAGTGGATCTTGGGGAGACCGAAGATGTTACTCCCTTCAAATACAAACTCAAACACCATCTGAAGCTGATATTTTCCCAACAAGGCTTCCCCCTTTTAAACTATATGCAATGACAGGGCTGTCTCCAAATCAACAGGCTGTTGCCAGGAGAAACGCACACTTCTATGGGAAGTTGCTCTAGCCACAAGCCAGTGGCTTTCCATGGCCTCAAGTTATATCCAGCCGCAGCCGCAACTTTTGGACATGACATCAGTTAGGCACGATGGGTAGAATGACACATACCTTTTTGAGCCAGACAGCCACACAGGTAGGATGGAAGAAATGTTCACAGGGCAACTCTGCGAGAGTCTCGTACAGCTCGTATTCACTGTGACATATGGCACATTTCATCTCCTTCTCTGTTGAAAAGACGTGATTATAAATACATTGTTCGACCTTCGTGAGTATCATTGGTTATAAAACCTGTACCTCTTGAGATGTACACTGCACTGTAGCTCACAAACTGGAAGACCTCACTGGACAGAAGAAAACCAAAATAAATCTATCTTGGGAAAAGCCCTTGATAGATGGGTTTATGGAATTTAGACACTGCAGGTACTTCAGAGTTGATTTCTATTGGAAATTGTTGGTGTATGAAATCCACACAGGTACGGCAGACACTGCCTTGTTTAACATGGACTCAAGCAAACCTGTGTGTTTTTAGAGGTATGGTGTCTGTGTTTTCAAAAATGTGGTGTCTTGCTTAGAGCAGAGCCCAAATTATTTAATTTTCATCTAATGCAAAAACTTGCAGACAAAGAGTGAGTATGATTGAATCACAACTTTGCAGAAAGGAAGAGCAAGAAGGATTTAATTTTCATCTCATACACAAACTTTCATACAAGACAGGGCAAGTATTAATGACTTCCCATATTAGCACAAACCGTTAGTTTGTTTTACCAGATCTGTCTCATAGGTGCTGGACAACAATGTATACAATGGTTCCTTTCTCATAAAATACAGACCGAGTATAGATTAGATTGAGTATACATGTACTTGTATAAAAACTTATTCACAGACCTATGTGGGATTCTAGAGCAGGAATCTCTTTTAGGTTGTCGATGACCTCCTGTGTCGCCGGAGGTGGGGCCCCATTGATACCATCCTCATTTCCTCCTCTCTCATTCTCAAACAGGTGGTGTGCCAAGACATTCAGCATCATGTTCTGAGAGGAAAATGGACCAATGTGACAAAAAGGGTGAGCATATACACAAAATATCACAACTTCAGTGCAAGTTTGAGGAATGGATTGCTTAAGACTTGGTGATTTTATGTCCTCAGGGTTTCTTTGAAGAAGAAATAATCTTTGGAAATATTTGAAACTTCACCTGAACAATGTCAGAAAAGGATAATATCAGCATTAACCACTTGTTGCTGGGTGAAATTTGAAGTTGCATGACGTAACACGGGAGATTTTCAAGATTTTCCATTTTCAAAATTGTTCAAAAAATCATAACTAAATTTACTTGACGTTTACACCCACACAAATGAGAACCCTGCTGAATGCAACAGTTCAAATGAGAACCCTGCTGAATGCAACAG